ACAGCAAGTGCCTGGGTTGATGAAACTTCAACTGATACAGAGATCCCTCCCACTACCTCCCCTATCCTAATGTTACCTATTAAAATCAGATATGATACATTCTATTACTAGAATCACAAATGGGAGACAAGACAACATAAGCAGTAGGGGCTCTGCAGACAACTATATTTACACATATAAACATATCCAAATTTAAATTGTTTACAAGTAAAAGTGCACAAAGATCATTACAAAGTTTCACTCAAATTTCAACTGGTCCATACAATGAAGCATCACCTGGGAACAGACCTAGCACTGCAGTGATTAAACTGGAGTGTCATAATCCCAAATTAAGAGACAATCAAGAAGAAATTTCCTTTAAAATTATTTTAAAAACATTCATTAAAGTAAAATGAACAGATCCATGTCTTCAGTTTCAATGCATAAAATGTATGATGCACCATGTATCACATAAGGTAGAGCTCTAGAAACCACCTGCTGTGGCTACCTCAGCAGCTGCAGCACCGTGGAAGGAGTTACAGGAGGTCATACTGAGCTGAGACCCAAAGCCCTTTGTGGGATACTGTAATGGTAGTGTTGGCAATCAACAGATTTAGGCACTCTAGTTTAAGGCAGCGTCTGAATGGCAAGCAGTTGACTTCTAAAAACAGTCACTTGTCTTCTGGTGGTGAATCTGTGTGTTGTTCATGCCAGGTTTTCAGTGCTCACTATAGGTTACCGAAGTGCTGAAGACGGACCACAATTCTAGGAGCTCCTTTGACTGCACTGTCAGCTAGAGCTGAGATGTGTTCTTTTCCCCAAATCAACAACATAAATACGTTTAGGTTCACATCAGTTATAATGCTGAAAAACTGGAATGTAATGATAGTTGCAGTAGGAAAGTTATAGCAGCACACATGGACACTGGGATGAAAACTTCATTACAGGAGATATTTAAACAAAGTGGTTTTGCTACACATGAAAAAGAAGAAGATAAGCAATGGAGGAAAAAAGTTAGACTGACATGCCTGAGAACTCTAGACATGCAGGAGGAGGTTAGGGCGAGCACGGAGGTGGCATATGCAGACACTGACAAATGACAGGGTCTTGAATGACTACCAGTTATAATGGGGCTGGAAAAGAAGACAGCTGAGGCAATAAACTGTAACAAACTGGTGAACAGTTTGTACAACTTTCAGTACTTAGGACTATGATCTGGTTGCCTTAGTTTATACTGTTGTAATGGAGTCCTATTTTGCTGCAGAAATTTAAGAATTTGTAACAGGTCCTTAGCTACATATGGCAATGCTGAGAATGTTAGTGAATAAATGTATGTCTGCATGCACTCATGCAACTAGCTTTCTCCTTCTCATGGTGCCTCCCAGCCTAATGCCCTCCCCAAAAGCAGCTGCATGTAACCTCCTTCAACATCTCGCCCATTTTCTCAGAAACCCGCTTCAGGAACCTGCAGTCCAAGAGGAAAAAGAAAAGAACAGAGTTACTGAAGGTCTTCGGAAGACAGAGAGGTGCTCACTTCTAACTGGCCTTCCCAAATGGCTATAGATTCAACCTTGCATTTAATTCCTGAAGAACTAACCACATTTGATAGCAAGCAACAGCTTTCCAGGCTTTTTTTCCCCAACAGAATTTCCAGCATAGCCAGTTTTCTAGTACTCAAATAGTGCAAGTTAACTTCCAGTCCAGGTTCATTTAACATTAAGTGAGGAAATGGATGTACAACTAAACTTTGAATATTTAATCCATAGGTAATGAAGTCTGAAGCCTAGCTATGGATACCAAGCCCCTTTGTACTGGGAGTCTAGAACATCTGTCACAACTCAAAAGCAGGTACTTGCCAAAGAAGAGGCCAGAGAATGCAATGGAAAAAACACGTTTTGTGGCATTTTAACACTGTTGTAAACTCAAAAGTTTTCCAGTCCTAAGCAGTGTTATTAAATGCACAATAATTTTGGTCCAGTACCATTGGAAGAAAACAAAAGAAGCAAGACAACATACATACATGGGTAATTAAAGAGAACACAAAAAATACACAGAATCTTCCTGAGTGCAAGTTTATCTTTGAGAATCAGAATCTTGATTTCCTTATGCAATGAAAGCTGCCAAAATATTTACAAAGCAAGGAAAAAATATGAACGTTTTCAGTAACTGAACTCAGTTGTTAGAATGCTCTGGTTTGTCTTTCAAGAGTTTTCAGCTATCCACGTAGCACAGTTAAAGCTGCTGATGAAGGAATGCTGAGAGTCTAAAGAGGCTTTATAGAAATTGCACCTTGGGGAGTGGGTTATTGTCTGGTATATGTCAGACAGACAGAATTTTAAATTACTTGCTGAAGTAAATGAAAATTAAGATCAGATTTAAGATAAAAATCATTAAAAATACGGTGACTTAATCAATAGGTCAGATTCAATGATTTATGAAAGATGACTGCTAAAAGCAGATAAATACAAAGCAAATGGCACTGGTCAAATTTGCAGACCCATTGAACAAAAAAACTCCCCCTTCCTGCCCCCTTTTTCCCAAGTTTTACTACTGGCTAACTCTGAAAAAAAATTAAGTGGAACTCATAAAGAGAACAGAGCACTTATGCCTTTGGAAAGCCTAATACTTCCATGAAACTGTGATTCAGTGTTTTCCCTCTGGGATGTACAGCTGTAAACTGCGAGTGTAGTGTTTAGATATAGGTTACTGCACCTTTGCTACTTTTCTCTAGAGTTACATCTATGTATGATGTTGGCACATAGCCTTCCTCTCCGTTCTGTCTTCGAGCTCTTGTCCATCCATCTCCTTTATCCTCCTCAATAACATATAAAACTTCCCCTTCTTTCATTGCCAGGGTGCCTTCATTGTGACCTGAGAAAAAGAGAGACACAAGTCCCAAAGCTCAGGAAGAATTTAAAGCAAGTTTTTTCTCGGTATATAATTTCCAGATATATAAACAGGAAGTACCAAAATCCATGGAAATGAATATATGAACTACTATGGGTTTACAGACAAAAATCTGGTCCCCTGTTGTAGAGCTGAATATATGCCAATAGCTGCTTTAATATTTTTCTTAAAACATCGCAAAGGTATATTTCTCCTGACCTTAAAACTAGCTGCTTAATGTAGTTAGGTTATTTATGGAGAAAACAGAAGACTCTCCTAAGAAACAATCCATATGAGGTCTTGGGAGGGGGGGTGGTAACTGAAAGTATCATATTACATAGCATTAACCTTACCATCAAAGGGATAGATTGCTTTGCAGTGTCCAATAGCTGGTAAGGGATCATCATCTTCAAATTCATCATCAAATTCATTAGGGTGGGCATGCTGCTGCTGTGGGCCTCGAACTTCCTGGTTTGCATCATCTGTGTAGCTCCCCTCGGGGCTGTAACATAAAGGTCACAGTCAGGATAGTATATTTCTCAGGGAAAAATCTTTTAAAAAAAATCTTTGCAGGCATCTTAAAAAAGGCTGCTGTTACCACTGGGATCAATCACATCAAGATCTGCCAGCACTATTTACATTTACTCATTAAGGTTATTTTCTAACAGCAGCAGGCAGTGTCTATCTGCTAAAACAAACAACACAAAAGCACAAAGGGTGTTATAGAATGGGAAACTGAACAGTGGTCCTATGTGCATGTGGTCTGTTCATTTAAAGAATGGCCCTTCTGTGATGGCACATACTGTTCAAAGCTGTCATGCATTAAGTGTAGACTCCTCATTTTCCTTGACAAGAGAGGTAGTAAAACCTAAAACCTTAGGTCCATATACACGCCCTTTGATACATATAGGTTTGGCAGGAGTTGATTTTTATCAATAAACATCAATTTCACCTGTCACTGCCAAACATACAGAAAAATATTTCCATCAGTAATCATCAAAATTAATGGAAAGGGAACATTAAAAAAAACCAAATCTGGAACAGAGGTAAGGAAATCTGAGGCAGGGGGCGCTGCATGCATGTGTGCAGATGCACACTGCTCATCCACTGCAGGAGCTGGGGGCCATGCTGTGCTGGGGCAGGGGAGGGGTTGGATGGGCAGGGCTGTTGGGAGCTGGGAGGAGCCTGGTGTTGCCAGCTGCTCACTGCCCAGGTCCCAGCTGGGGATCAGGCACTGAGCATCTGTGAGCACCTGTGTAATCAGGGCTTGCTAGGAGTTCGGTCAGGCCAGGAAGGAGCTCTGGGAATATGGAGAGGCAGCAGTCACCCAGCCTGGGGCAAGTAGCAGCTCCTCACTCCCTGCAGCCCCTTATGGCATCAGCAGAGGGGCGGCCTTGCTCCTTGGTGGCCATGGCCTCCTGTTGCCCCCCTTCCCTCCCACCCCCCCAAGCAGTGCTGGGGCAGCAGCTGGGCCCTGGGGGCACCCCATATATCCTGGCTCACGCATGCAGGGGCCAGGTTGGGCAGGAGCTCTAAGAACCTGGGGAGAGGCAGCATGATCAGGACAAGGCATACAGGGGTGCCCCTGGGGCCCAGCTACTGCCCCTGTGCTGCCTGGAGGGGTGGGAGGCCATGGCCTTCAGCCAGGCTGCCCGTCTGCTGGTGCCTGCCTGAACCCTGAAAATTTAAATCAATAAACATCAATTTAGAAAAAGAACAAAAATACAAAACAAACAAACAAATAAAATTTGATAAAGTCCAAAAGAAATCCTTAGAAATAAAAATGGATTTTAGCCATCAAACTGATATAAAAATAAAAAGTGAATTCTGCCAAGCCTAGATATATAGCATATCTGGAAACTTGAGAGTTCTAAGGAGAGTCTCTGCTGCGTAAAGACCATATGGTTGTAGGGAGAGTAGCTATAACAATAACATCCAAAACAACCGAGAAATTCAAGATAGCTTCAACAGAAGGACAGCTGAAATAATGACCTCTCTCTTCCCTGTGTCACAAGATGGTTGATGTCACTGCTGTGCCGCCTGTCACCTCTTGCTGCTACTTTACCTTCAACTTCAGAAAGCCAAGCCTTTCAAGAAAACATAAAACAACCAGAGTCACTATTAACAGAAAATCCATTCTGAACCAGCAAATGCTCCATATCACCAAGTTTAGTTCTTCAACACACTTCAGAGAATGGACTTTACATGCCAAAATGGATCCCTGTTGTTTGTTAAATACTGCATATCTTCATGCAAACCCTCATTC